TAAACCAAGGCTATAAATTACTAACTTCGTTATTTTCATTTTAGCTTAAGAAATTAAGTAATTTAACAACTAGACGGGATATATTGAATAAAAGCGATATGGTCTGATAGTTATGTCGAATATATTCACATTAAGTGGAAATAATTATAAAAGTGAAAGTTTTCTTCAAATGCGGTCTAATAGTTTTTAGAAAAGTAAAAACTTTTAATAAAAATTGATACCTTATCAATTATTTTGTAATTGTTAATAATGAATTACCCATAATATTGCATGAATAATCCTAGTTCCGAAATACGGCTAGAAAGCATTTGGAGTAAATTAATACAGAAATCTAAGTATATAATTAATTAGTTATTATATATTTTATTTTATTGTTCTTTAAATGAACAATTTTAGGCATATTTGCCTAAAAATTGCTATAAGTTTAGTTTTTTAAAATTTAAAAATATTAGTTTTTTAATTTTATTGCAAAATTTATTTAGAATATAATTTAAATTTAATTAATATAAACTTCTAAAATATTTAAATTTAAATTTAATATTTAGTTGATTTTTAAAATACAGTATAGCAATATTAATTTTTTTTTTTTTTAATGTTTAAAGTGAGACCTTGCTTTTATCTTTATTAAACTTAATGAAAACTTTTTACATGATTGGAAAAGGTTTTCGATGATTCCTTTGATATCTTCTTCAGGAATATCTAAAATAGTTGAAATTTATTAATTTTTAATTAATTATAACTTAAGAATTAAAACAACCCTCACATAATCGTTCTTTAGTGACTGATTCCTCTATCAGGCAAAGTTTTTTCTCATTTTTCGATGGTTCACCAGCGATGGTACCGGTTTTTTCTTTGCCTTGATGAGTAAATTTAACCATTTCTGAGTAGATATTAATAGAATATAGATATGAATATCAATACTTCTTAAAAACATAAAAAAAAAATGAATAACCTACTTCCTTCTGTATATTTTGCCATTTGAGTTGACTGAAAAAAAAAGAGAATCGAACTATCAGCAATCTATATAAATTTACATGAGAAAATTTCTTTCCTAATGGAGAAACAATAACAATACTTACACGTTCTTATTGATTTAATGTGATTGATTTACAAACACTAATTATTCTAAATAATTTTTTAACTTTTATTATTTTTTGGATCAAATATTCTAAAGGAATACAGTACTTATTATTTTTAAGTTCAGAAGTTGTTGATCCTTATCATCGATATTTCATAAAATTTATTAGAACGATTGAACCTCTTATTGTATGCTTTTTGATTTTTCACTAACTATGAGCGATGATATCTCGATAACCACTTGACAGAATTCGATAAAAATTTTTTTATCAGGATTCTATGAATTCATAGAATTCAGATAAAAAAAGTTTTATCGAATTTGGTTAGATGGTTGTCGAGATAACTTCGTTCAAATGTTTGAAATTTGTCAGAGCAAATGGTTGCTGACATGTGCTGTGCAGCGGCACATTTCAGCCAATCATTTGTCCTGACAGAATAATATGTATCATCGCGTGATCCAATATCGTGCAATTATGAACATAATTTACAAGTTATTATTGGCTAACTGAGTTTTAATTCGAGATTGTTGTAATTACGTACAAAAAATAACGAAAAAATCTATGATCATAAGAGTTTGCACGATAACAAAAAAGTAGGTGCAGGAGTAGCAAAAATAAATGTTTTGCAACCTTAGCGTCCCTAACAAACTACTCATGTGATTTGCATTGACCCTAAGACTGTGATATAATACAGAGCACGAGCCGCGAAATGACACATACTCTGCGTTATCAACTAACCAAGAACAATTAAAATATTAAATAATACGCGATATTTAACCAATATATCTTTCTATCTTAAATCCCGGGCTTAAGATTATAGGTACGTGTGTGTCAGAAATTTAGTAAGAAAATTTTTATAAAAGTTGGTTTCATATACAAAATTTTGAGTTATTAGCGATTTTTTAAATCCGACTTTTTTTTTCTAGATTTCAAGTTACACTTGATCCCGCAGAACTTCCGGGTGTTCTTAAGTAGTTTTATTCATCAGATTTGTTGATCGCAAATTCACTAATAGCATAATTATTTGATACTTCTGATGTAAGCACCGATCTTTCACCCATTTTTTTAATATTGATTTTTTTGCTTACTTAAAATATTTTTATATACTGTACCTAAAATGAATTAATTTTGATATTTTTTTATACTCTCACATTTGTCGTTCTTGCATTCTATTAAATTAGAATTTTGAGCAAAGATACCTTGATAACTGCATTACTGAATTTAATAATTATAGCTAACGAGCTATTGATTTTTGAATTATAATGAAATATTTTCATTATTTGCTCCATATTGTAAACCTTTACAGATTTCTATCGCCAATAAGCGATTTTTTAAATCTCTTTTTAACATTTCATCATTATATGTATCTAGCATTGTGGAGAGTTCTCAAGAATAGTTAGTCTCAAATAACTAATACTTGAAGTAGCGATTCAAATTTTTTATTGTTAAGATATCAGGTTTTTAACATAAAAATTTCCCGTATAATTATTCCAAATGAATAATATCTGATACCATTATATATTTACCTTTCCAATGCAAATATGATGAATTTCATAAGTTTCGCGCTTTTCTGCTTTTAATGCAATATTTATTAATGATTAAAGACACAAATATGTAATTCGAAATGTTTTGTAAAATTCTAGCACTATATAAATCTTGATGAATGGCTTTATGATAATGAATTATTTGAAGGATAAAATCAAAACAATGCAGTAAATTTCTACTTCTTTATATAAAAACTCATCTCTGCATAATTTAAACCAATAACATAATATTCTGAAATATCATTAAATATTCCATTATAAAAAATTTTAGATCTATATCATAATACGTTTTTAGCTTTAATAATTTTAAAAAGTAGATTATTAAAATCTTATTAAATTCACTTCTTTAACGAATCCTTCATTGTAAGTAGTGATTTGAACCGGCTAGGCCTTAATCGGGTAACCGATCTGAGCCGAACAAATTCGGATGAACCGATTAAAGTAAATG